TCCTGCAGGACTCTTCATCAGAGTGAACGCAGAGCGGGAATTGCCCTGAGGATGGCATCAAGGGAAATCAGTGCCTCTGAGACCTGAGAAGACTCGTCCTCAAGAAATCTGCACCGGAACTTGGTCTGTGTGCATCCCTTGAGCCTGGCCTTTTTCGTACAGTCAAGAATTTTTCCAAGTCATGTGGCTAGATCCAGATATCTATGGACGTGGGCAACAATCCCCTTTGAACGCGATAGGGTTTAGTTCTGAAGAGATCTCTCTTGCATTAGACTGTTATTGTTGCATCTGTGGTGCCCAAATACAGCCGGCTTCTGTATTAGAACCATCTGTTGGGTCTCTGATCGTAAAGATGGGTCAGTTAGAGTGATCACCTTGATTTAAGCCAATTCAAAAACAAAAAAAGCCTGAACAATCTCTGAAGGCAAAAAAGGATGAAACTGGAGCTGTCCATGATTTGGGCGCATCAGGAGAAAAGGCAGGATTGTCTGGAAAAGACAATCCTGTTGGGAAAGGTGGAAGGCAGCAGGAAAAGAGGAAGGCCAAAGATGAGATGGACCGACTGGAAGCCCCAGGCTTGAATTTACAAGAGCTGAGTCGGGCTGTTAAGTACAGGACGTTTTCGAGACGGCTCATTCATAGGCTAGCCTTCCCCTCCAGTTAATTTTGATTTTCTTCCCCCTCTTTTCCTATTATGATTTATTCTGTTTCCTTTCCATCTTGTAGAATTTTTCTAATTGTGTAAAACTAGCTGCCTAGAGTGGTCGTAATTGACCAGATAGGTGGGATATAAATGGAATAAATAAAATAAAATAAATAAATAAGCTAGGGGTCAGTTGACGGCAGGTAACAGCAACCCCGTTGTTCTGTGGTTCTATGTTTTAACAATAGTTTATCGAAGAAGGAGGGGGCAGGATCTGTTCTCGATCATCCCAGAGCGCAGGACACCTAACCATGGGCTCAAGCGACAGGAAGGCAGTTTGAGGCTGAATGTCAAGAGAAAATGTCTTAACTGCTAGAGCAGTACGACAAGGGAACCCCCATGGCCTGGGGAGGTGTCGGGCGCTCCAATGCTGGAGGCCTTCGAGAGAGAGAAAAAGTGGTCCCCAGCATCCTATCCGGTCTGCTGTGATCTGGATTCCTGCCTGGAGCAGCGGGTTGGATCTTTTGGCCACCATTTTGGGGCGGGGGCGGGGGGGGAGGTTTGGTCCTCTCTTTTTTTCCCCCCTCAGGGCTTCGTTTCGGGCGGCCAGAGCGAAGCGCGGCTATGCTCGGGCGGCCCAGGAGGGGGCGCCCTGGGTGTGGCGGCGGCGGCGGCGGCTGGGAGGGAGCCTCGGCAGCTCCACCGCGGAAGGAGAATCCCATTGAAAAGGCGGAGGTTCCGCCGTAGAGAGAGAGAGAGAAAAGGGGGCGCGAAAGAAATAAAAGAGGATCCACTGCCTTCTTCTTCTTCTTCTTCTTCCCGCAGCCTCCCTCCCTCCTAGCCGGCTATTGGCCAGATCCGGTGTCCCGGGGGAAGGCTTGGCCCCCTTTTTTCCATTCCTCTTCAGGTCTGACTCGGTGCAAACGGAGCAGAGCAGGGCAGAAAAAGCAAGCCCCGACGGTCTTCAGGCTTCCCACTGGCCTCCTCGACCCTTTGGGTTTTAGGACGCTGCTTGGAGCTCTGGTGGTGGCCGGAGGGGGAGAGAGAGAAGGGCCTCCCCCCACGTGGGTGGAGGAGGGTGGGCTTCCCCCGAAGGAGGAGGCCGATCCTGCTCCGCTTCGCTTCGGGGGGGTGTGTGTGGACCGCAGACTTGACTCCGGGGATTGTCCTCTTGAGGGATGATCTCTTGAGGGATGATCATCTTGAGGGATGATCGCAGGGATCCAGCTTCCTTTGGCCCTGTCTTGTGGAGTATCTTAAAAAACAAACAGACAACCTGATTTGTTATTGCTGAACCTCCAGCAGCATTTGGTTCTTCTTTTTATTTGTTTGTTTGTTTGTTTGTTTGTTTGTTTATTTAACTTAGGGCGAGTGCCCTCTGAACTCTATGTTCAAAGAGAAAGATGCCCTGAAATAAGTGTTAGGATTACAGTATATTTTTGCTTGATTGACCTCACGCAGGTCTATGCTTTTGTGCCATGCTCTGAAAGAACTGGGTATGTTACGCCTGGAGAAAAGAAGACGGAGGGGAGATGCTGTGTAGGAGAGCACTATTCAAATACTGTACTTGGAAAGGCTGCCATACAGAGGAGGGGCAGGATCTGTTCTTGATTATGGCAGAGTGCCGGACAGGTAGCAAGGGGCGCAAGCGACAGGAAGCCAGATTTCAGCTGAATACTGTATTGGGAAAAAAACTTTCTAACTGTTAGAGCCGTATGACGATGGAATCCATGACCTCGGGGGTTAGTGAGCAATCCTGAGCTGGAGGCATTTGAGATAAATTTGAGATAAAATTGGATAACCCTCTGCCGGATCTGCTTTGATTTGGATTCCTTCATGGAGCAGAGGGTTGGGCTCGATGGTCAGTTACAGGCAAGGCCTTCCAACCCCATCCTTCTATGATTCTCTGTTTTAACAATAGTTTCTAAAAGAGGAATGATGTTTTTTGTTGTTTTGGGTAGAAACCGTTTTAGGTGTCTGAAATGCTGGCGATCGCTAAAGATGTGCCGATGTAATCTGAAAACGTACTAACTCTTGATTTCAGGAGGATGAGTCAGGAGCCAATGTGACTGAGAAGGACATTTCTGCAAGCCTGGAAGCAGGATCTGGCCAAGGGGATGCAAGAGCTATGGGAAGCGCAATGGCAGGAGTTCCTGGAGACCCTGCAACCCGTTCCCCCAGGAGGAGGGGACCCCGGCGTGTCCGAGATGGCCCCGTGGGATGACACCAAGGCCTTCCTGGCCTCCTTTGAGCAAGTGGCCAAAGCTTGCCGGTGGCCGAGAGAGGAATGGTCCGCCCAGCTTCTTCCCGCACTGAGTGGAGAAGCGGAGCAGGCCTTTCGGAGCCTGGAAGCCAGAGACAGGGAGGATTATGGGAAAGTGAAGGCTGCCATTTTGCAACGGGATGCTCTGAGGATGGAGCTGAAGCGCCAGCATTTCAGGCAGTTCTGTTGCCAGGAGGTGGAAGACCCCCGTAGGATTTACAGCCAGCTGCAGGAGCTTTGCCACCGGTGGCTGAGGCCGGAGAGACGCAGCAAGGAGCAGATCCTGGAGCTGCTGATCCTGGAGCAGTTCCTGGCCAGCCTTCCTCCGGACCTCCAGGACTGGATCCGGGCGGGAGGGCCGGACTCCTGCTCCCAGGCGGTGGCCCTGGCAGAGGACTTCCTCATGAGCCGGCAACAGGCTGAGAGAGAGAAGTGGCAGGTAAAGAGTTTTTTTTCCGGTAGAATCATCCATGAAGTTTCTGTGAGTTGTTATTTTTGTTTTCATGGCCTGGTGGTTATGATCTGGATTACAAATACAAGGTAATGTTAGGAATTAGGTCAGCTTTTAAGTTATCCAGAACTTTCATCTGACAAAAATGGAGGCAAAGGCAAACAAGCCAGACATTTTGACTGCCACTTAGTGTGGTACATATATTTCATCTCCTGTTTTGCTGATGGAAAAAGGGTTACCTTGCTCTGCGAATTTTAGGAGAAGAAAGCAGATAATTTTTTCCTGTTTTCTTCTCCTAAAAATTTGGTGCGTCTTATGGAAAGGTGCGTCTTATGGAGCGAAAAATACGGTATGTTTGACAGATGTACATTGGCCCAAGCTAAGATTTTATTTACAAGTGAGGAAAGACTATGAATGGATGTCTCTGACTCTTCTCATGTGGCCTTGGCAGGCAGCTTCTTGCCTTGTTATTTATTCATTCGTTTGCTTGTTTGTTCATTTATTTATTCAGTTTGTATCCCACTCCCATTAGTATCACTTTTTCTGTAACTGTTGTTACTGTTTAATCCAGTGAATAGCCAAGCTCACTACAACAATGTTTCAGGGAGGCTGTATTTAATTTAAATCAAATAGATTTACAATTCACAATTTAATCATTTTTAATCAGGGTGGGAAGTTAGACAGTTCAAATGAAAAAAAATTTTTTTATTAAATCAGTTTGATTTTTATCCATCTTGATTTCAAGCTAGCAGACGCAGGTTTTAAGCTCTTCAGGTTGTACGGACGAAGAATCATCTTTAACGACTGTGAATCCATGACAGGACTTGAAAGGTAGTCGTATTCATTCAGAAGAGGGACAGGATCTGTTCTCGATCATCCCAGAGTGCAGGACACATAACAGTGGGTTCAAGCTACAGGAAGCCAGATTTAGGCTGAATATCAGGAAAAAGTTCCAAACTGTTAGAGTAGTACGATGATGGAACCAATTACTTCGCAGATTTAGGCTGAATATCAGGAAAAAGCTCCAAACTGTTAGAGTAGTATGATGATGGAACCAATTACTTCAGAAGGTGGTGAGCACTCCAATGCCGGAGGCATTCAAGAGGAAATTGGATAATCGTCTGAAGGTGGTGAGCACTCCAATGCCGGAGGCACTCAAGAGGAAATTGGACAATCGTCTATTAGGTCTGCTTTGATTCGGATTCCTGTGTTGAGCAGAGGTGTCGACTGAATGGCCTCGTAGGTACCTTCCAAATCAGTTATTCTAGGATTCTATAAGCTTTCATCCTGTTTACTCCCTGCAGTTCAGCTCTCAGTTTGCCAATCTGTTGTGTTAGTTACCAGTAAGTCACAACAGCTTAGCATGGTAGCTTAAGGTTGTCCCTGTTCTGTAGTGGTGGTGATGGTACAGGAATAGCATCTTTAGGAGGTTTGCTGTGGGATGAAAACTAGGTGTTTGAACTTCCCGTTGTGTCAGGATTCTATGGTGGCAAGAATATCTCCTTTGGGTGACCATTTCGAGGAACTGTGCTGCACATGTACAGGGATAGAAAGTTGGGTGTGTTTCATATTGTCCATAATTGTAGAGCTTAACTGACCTGTTGATAGGCTCCCGATATCCAGGAAGTTGCTTTGGGAGAGGGTCGAAACTGGTAGAATTGGTCCACTAGAGAAAGGATGTGACCAAATGGAATGTGTCTCTTATCCGTACACAAGACATTCTTCCAGAAATATTACTATGTTCTGAATTGCTCCCCCCCCTCTTTTAGGGGCCGATAAAAGTGGAGTGTTTGGATTCCCCGGATCTAGAGGAAGATGAGCCGTCAGGCACTGCGGATGGACAGATCTACGGTGAAGTCGCAGAAAACAACGATGTGGAGATCAGCATGCTAGGTAAGGGCTCTCTGGACTATGAACTTCTAATTTTAGAGAGAACAGTGTATGCATTTTATTATTTATTTATTTGATTTATATGCCGCCCGTCTGGCTACTGTGGCCACTCTGGGCAATTCACAACAAAATAAGCCACAATAACATATGAAATAAGAACTATGTAAATACATCAACCATGTAAAAATCAAATAAACCTGTTAGTCAACTCAACTAAAAAGAGAATGACATGAGCATGATTCATGTATGCAAAATTAAAACGTAAACATTAAGAAGAGCAGGGTATTAGTCAGATCTGCTGGGGCCAGCGTTCTTCTACCACGTTAGTCTTGCAGAAGACAAGAAGATTTGGTTAACAGCAGCTTGTCCTACAGCAGGACGGAAGCAGTTGCACCAGCTGAATTTCCTTCTTCCTGAGTCTTTTTTATAAGTCCCCCAGATCTATATCTCTTTGTCAACAAGAATTGTGCTGCTTGGGTTACATTACTTTGGTCAAGTTATGTGTAGCTTAGGAACAGTGTGGCACATCTCCAGGTGTCCCACAATCTGTTCAGAAGCTGTCCACTCATTCCAACATCCCTCTGATTAGTTCGTTTGATGGAAACTTCCTCAGAAGGCTTTTCTAAGGAGGTACCATATTTTTCCATGTATAAGACTATACTTTCGTCTAAAATCTTTAGACTAAAAATTGAGGGTTGTCTTATACACGGAAGTAAGCTAAAGAGAGAACAAAAACAAGTGGAGGGGAAAGCAGGGATCAAAGCGATCCTGCAGCGCTTTGATCCCTTTCTCCCTACACTTGCTAAGCCCCACTTAGATTTCTTAATTTTGCATTAGAAAAGTGGGGGCGTCTTATACATGGGGGTGTCTTATACATGGAAAAATACGGTAGTCTTGGTCTGGGTGCTAGTTGAAACATCTAAAGCCAAGCTGAATTGAAACATCAAGGAGCCAAGTCAGAGAAGAACAAAGAAGAATGATTGAGATGTCAGGTCAGGGTCAGTTCATAAATCAAGGGTTTATTGAGTGAATAATACACTCTTAAAGCTGCTTTTGCTGTTCTCCTATACTTTACAGCCCTCTGTGTCCATTCCGTCCCCCCATTCTCCTACAGTGGGGGAGGATGCCAGTACCATAGGTTGCCCTCCTGCTTGGGAGAGACCACCCATAGTAAGGATATTCTCCTTCTGCTGTAAAACTGTTGGATAGCTCAGTGGTTTAGGCATCTGGCTGTGGAAACAGAGTTGGGAGTTCGATTCCCCACTGAGCCTCCCTGACAGGGGCTGGACTTGATGATCCGTAGGGTCCCTTCCAGCTCTGCAGTTCTAAGATTATTTATTATTAAATTATTATTAAAGAACGAATATGTCATAGCAAGCACAAACATATTGTTCTGTAATTTAGAAACCAAAAGAACAGGTAAAGGGAGAGGGGTGAATGGCAGATAGAAACAGAAAGATTTGTGGGTGTAACCACAGAATGTCCTTCTAATAGCTTATAAGGAAAAGCAAGGAGACAGACGTTACACCTACCCAGAAAAGTGTTCTCCAGAGCATGAATAAAGTTCCTCTCTCTCTCTTTCTGTAGGGGAGGAAAGTCATGTGAAGAAAGAGAATCTTCAGTGGGGAGAAAGTGAACCGGAGGACATGCCCGGGACGGTTCTACACATAAGTGGAGGGAATATGCTGGAGAGGACGGAGACGCACAAGGAAGGGTGCGAAACGAAAGAGGAATGGGGAAGGCAGCTGGAAGCGAGAGAGAACACATGCCATGAGTTCCCAGAAGGCGCAGTTCTCCAGCCTTCTGAAATAGACTCAAGGGGAAAGGTGCTGTTGTTTCCCAAGTGTGGAAGAAGATACCACTCCAGGTTAGAATTTGAGGTGTTGGAGGACCACAGAGAATTCCCCACGCTTGAGGAAGACTTCATTCAAAACTCCCACCCTGAGAAACAACTGAGAACCATGTCTGGAGAGAGTAAATCAGAATTCTTTGGGAACAGAAAGCGGGATAATTTGGCCAGAGAACAGAATAACCAGACCGAAGCAAAATCTCACAGGTCTTCCAAGTGTGGAAACCGAGTTTCCTCAGAAACACTTCAGAGAAATGAATCTCTTGGAGGCAAAATGAAACCGTACGAATGTTCTCATTGTAAGAAACACTTCAGTGAAAGAGAACATTTGCTAAATCATGAGCAACTTCATACCGGAAAGAAAAGGCGGGAATGTCCCACCTCCGGGAAAGTCTTCCCTTTTCGGCAGGCAGTCAAGCGATACAAGGGGATTTATCCGGGAGAGAAACCGTACAAATGTTCTTGGTGCGGCGCAAGCTTCAGCGAGAGGGGCAAGTTGAAAAGACATCAGAGGAGCCATACTGAAGAGAGAGAGTTTCAGTGTCCTGAGTGTGGGAAAACCTTCAGTCGGAGTGATTTTTTAAAGATCCACGAGAGAATTCATACTGGGGAAAAACCCTATAAATGTGGCCAGTGTGGAAAAGCCTTCACTGAGGGAGGAAATCTAAAGAGACATGAGAGAATTCATACTGGAGAGAAACCGTACAAATGTTCCCAGTGTGGGAAGTGTTTCACTGACGGAGGAACTCTGAAGCAGCATCAGAGAATCCATACTGGGGAGAAACCCTACATATGTTCCCAGTGTGGGAAATGCTTCACGAAGAGAGGAACTCTGAAGCAGCATCAGAGAATCCATACTGGGGAGAAACCCTATGGATGTTCTGAGTGTGGGAAAGCATTTGGACAGAGAGGAGCCTTGATGAGGCATCAGAGGGTTCATACAGGGGAGAAGTGAAAACAACCCTGGGTACGAGAAACGTGAGGGAAAAGATTTGAGGGAACTTGACCGTAGGAAAGCCCTCTGTGTCTGGAAACAAGCGTTCAGAGCATTATTTAAAAGTTTGTGAAAGAGTCCTTGATGAAACGTAGTCCTCCTGGACAACAGGTATCAGGACAGAGATACTGAGGAGGAATTAATTAAAAATGTGAAATGGCTAAGCCTTGGAGAAACCGTGCTCACATCCTGGGTGGTGGGCTGAGGTGTATGGAGGGGAGGAGATCTGACCCTAAAATATGCCTTGAATGCAGGTGAAAACAAAATGCAGGAAGGAAATCAGGTAAAGGAAGCTTCCACAAGAGACGATTTGACTGGATTTCCAAATAGTCGGGGGGGGCATTTTATGATAAGATTTTCTGTTTTGAAGAGTCAGGATAGGAAATCTGGAATATCTGGGATGCCTTAATGCTGATTTTTGTATACTCTTCTGAAATTGTGCTGGTTTGGGGGAAAAAAGATCAGGAAAACCCACCAGTATTTGCCCCATCACTTCCTATGGTTAGAAAGTTACTCTGTGAGGTTATGATGCGGTTCCTCCAAATAGCTTATGTTTCACTCAACCTACCATGGTTCCCAGCACACGAAATGTTTTATGAGCTCAGCTGCCCAGCAGGGTTAGGAGCTTCTCAAGAGGTTCCTGTGTAACAGCAGCTAGATGTGGAAGAAACTACAGGTGAATTTTTTCACATCCTGACAGTAATAAAGTTTATAACCTTATAAAATGTCATGCTAGACATACATACATAGGGGAAGGCAAGCACAGAATATTCCTGCCAAGAATATCCCCTTTCATCCTCTCTGAAGTTCATTACTTGAATAAAGGTGATTAATACCTAAATCCGCCCTCCCTAGGGTCTAGCAGCTTGATTCTTCAACTCTTTTTTTAAAAAACAAAACCAAAGAGCTATCACCCTTCCTGTATTATTTTAACAGGTTAAAGCAATTACAGTGGGACCTTCTTATCTGCGGCATCAGTATCCACAGATTCACTTATCCACTGTCTGAAAATATTAAAAGAAAAATTCCCAAAATATATACAGTATTTTTAACAATGAAGTTACCAGGCCACTAGAGGGAGCCAGAAACTATGTTAAATATAGCATTCACTAGACAAATATATTTCCATGATGTTATTACCAAAACTTGCCACAAGAGGAAGCCAGAGACCATGTTAAGTATAGCATTGACTCAGCAAATATACCGTATTTTTGCATTTATAACATGCCCCCATTTATAAGACGCGTCCCCCCCAATTTTCTGACCCCCAAATTAAGAAAAATTAGCTTTGAGGGTTCAGCCTCTGAGCTCAGAACGTTGGACATTTTTACTTCCATGTAAAAGACACCCCTCAATTTTTAGGGTAATGATTTTAGGAAAAAGTAGTGTCTTATAGACGGAGAAATACCACATTTCCATGATGTTGTTACCAAAACTGGCCACGAGAGGGAGCCAGAGACCCTGTTAAGTATAGCATTCACTGACTAGGCAAACATATTTCCATGATGTTATTCCCAAAACAGGCCATGAGAGGGAGCCAGAGACTGTGCTATGTATAGAATTCGCTATTATAATAGCATTTGCTATACAGTGGTGCCTCGCTTTACGATTGCCCCGCATTAAAACAAATCCGCATTACAATGATCTTTTTGTGATCACAATTGCGATCGCAAAACGATGGTCTAAATGGGGGAATTTCGCTTTGCGATGATCGATTCCCTGCTTCGGGAACCGATTCTTCACAAAATGATGTTTTTTAACAGCTGATCGGCGGTTTCAAAATGGCCACCGGGTGATTAAAATGGCTCCCCGCTGTGTTTAGGGACAGATTCCTTGCTATACAGGCAGCGTAACTGGCCGCCGTATGGAGGATCTTCGCTGGACGGTGAGTTTTTACCCTATTGGAACGCATTGAACGGGTTTCAATGCGTTTCAGTGGGGTTGTTATTATCGCTTTACAATGTTTTCACTTAATGGTGATTTTCCTGGAACAGATTATCGCAGGTAAGCGAGGCACCACTGTAATTGCATTTTTCAGCATCTGCACTGGGGGCTTGGAATCGATTCCCCATGGAGGCAAGGGTCCTACTGTAGTTTGTGTGTTGGGGTTTACATTTTCCTAGTCAGTGATGAAGGGTGATGGGAGTTGCAGACCAACAGCATCTGGAAGTCCATTCTCCATGCCTACCTTGAAAGACATTACAAGGCACATCTTAAATTTATTTTCTACCCTGCCTCTTAGGGCAAACTCTTCTCCATCATCCAGATACTAGCCCAGGCTATAAACTGGCCTTGCCATGAAAAAAAACCCAGAAAAAATATTTTCTTATGTACTATATTACTATACCAGGACTGATCACTGTAGGGAGCCAGAGACTATGCTATGGGTTCTTCAACAATAAGAATACATAGTGTGGTCTCGTGCTCCCTCTAGTGGTCAGTTCTGGTAAATACATTGTGAAAATACATATTTCTAGTTTTTCTTTTTAATATTTTCAGATCGTAGATAAGTGAAACCACAGATACTAATTCCACAGATCCTAGTGTATTCCTACTACAGGAACGGTGGTAGAAAGGATTCCCTGATCTATCCCTTTCTTCGTCTTACATAAAGTGTCTCTTTCTTACTACCCTGATGTTGAGTATCTCAGAGACGGGAAATGTTACTGTTGTCGACTGCAGTGTCTAGACTTTCCAAGGCAGGAGGACTGCTGGCCATGATGGCTGGGGTATTCAAGAGGTGGTGGTCCAAAAAATACCTTCCCATCTCTGAGAAGACTTCCCTTCCTGCCCCTATCAGTACAAACTCTGTAAAGCATGTTGCTCGCTGTAGTATCCCAACCTTATCGCTGTGCCTCAAGGTCTGAGTTCAAATCTGGCCTTTCTGATCTCACGATGTGGCCCACTAAGCTTCTCTATGTGGGCACAAACCCTCATGACCCCATGATTTCATGGCCTCCCAGCTTTTTTGTTCGCCTTTCTCCTCCCTTCTCAAAACTTGAAATATACAGTGGTGCCTCGCTTAACGATGTTAATTGGTTCCAAAAAACCATCGCTATGGGAAAACATTGTTAAGCGAAACACAGTTTCCCATAGGAATGCATTGAAAACTGGTTAATCCATTCCAATGGGAACGGATTGCCATCCTTAAGCGAAAATCCCCATAGGAAACATCGCTAAGTGAAACAATGTTTCCCCCAAGGGAAAGCCATTCAAAAGGACTGAAGCCGGCTTCAGTGCTTTTGAAGCCCTTTCCGATGTCTGTTTTCGCTCATTTTTAACTTTCCGTTCAATGGATTTAAATGGGGATAACAAAAAATCACCAAAAATTAACAAAGACTCAGAACAAAACCAGATTAAGTTTGCACATGTTTCAGAAGGTGCACTACCGAATCCAAGCATTTAAAACAGGTTTCAAACATTTTAAGACACTTTTAAATGAGCAAAAACGGACATCATTAAGTGAAATGCCCCCATAGAGAACATCGTTAAACGATGGGGAAATTTCCTCAAAGAAACCCATCGCAAAGCGAATAGATCGCTAAACGAAGCAATCGCTAAGCGAGGCACCACTGTATGTCTCTAAAATGCTTTTGCTTTTCTCCCATCTAACCCCCAGAATGCAGCTGCCAACAGTATCTCTGGAATCGAATTTGGGCTTTGGATGGACAGACGTTTCTTTCCTTTGCTCTGGTTTCCTCCAGATGTCACTTCTGTAATTAACCTTTTTCCTTTGGAGTAAAATGTAGCAGGTGATATATTTTTCAAATAGGAGGCATCTTAATCTGTTTCAGCAGCAACCAAAAGAAAGAAAGAAAGAAAAGAAAAAGAATTGTGGCTTCTCTGAGACTTATTTATTTCCGTGTGAACGTTGTGCTCCTTGTGTTTAAAGAGGAGCATTATTCATGAAATCTTAACAATGGAGTAAAATTTGTTCATCTTCTACAAACAGTCCTGTGGTGGCTTTAAAATGAATAGATTTTATTTGGCCTCAGCTTTTTCTGACTTAACCCACTTGTTCTGGTGCAGCTGGTGAAGTGGGCTGCAGATCTTCCTTGGTTTTTTCTAGAAAGGACTGATTTCTCGGAGGGGGGGGGAACCCCATAGTATTAAGAGTGTCACAGTGCTTCCGTTGTTTTGCTTTAACTTAAAATAGTCTCTTTAATACTTTATTGAGGCACCAGTTTCTACAAATGTCTAACCAAATGCAGGTTGGGAGCCGACTTGGTGTAAGCTTCCCGACTCACAGACGTTTGGATGATGGCCTTTGAAATCTCTTGTCATCGCATCTTCCAGCTTGGTGCAAACGAGCAACCTTGGCATGTCTCGTCCATCTGTCCATTTGGCTGGCTGGCCCCAACCACGGAGCCTGAGGGGAAGGGACGCTCATGGAAAACGGCTGCCTGAGTCTATGTGGTGCAGTTGGCCAGCTAGTGTGAACTTGTTCTAGACGACACTTGAAGTCTCTTCTAGCTCCACCATTCTATCATTCTAGGCCTGCTTTGTTCTGCAGAGAGATGGTCCCTTAACAATCCCCTCTTGGATAACTGACAAGATGCCCAATGGTGACCATGATAAAAGCAAAAAACTGCTTTTCTGTTCTGTGTTCCTAGCTTCTTATCCTGCCCATGTTGGCTGGTTTGGGTACTGGACAGAAAATCAAATTCATCATGTGATAGAGTGGTGTCTGGTCCTGGAGAGGGTTTGCAGTCAGGATTTATCACTCTTAGCGTTCTAACAGAAGCTGATGCTTAATGGGATGTTTTTTTTTCCTAGAGAGAAGAAGAGAAAGAAGGGTCCCAGCACATGATTTCAGGGGTAGAGACTTAGCAGACACCCCCCCTTTTTTGTCTCTCTGTTTGTGGACATGCCGTGTGTTCAGGCTGGCCTGCGGAGTCACAGAGGTACAAGCCAGCCAGTATTTCAGCACCAGGGAAAGCTCCCTGGGAACCTCTTG